CTATTTAATGTTTGAAGGCTTAGGAAACTTGTCATCTAGAAATACATATTGAATCAAAGTTAGCTCTTTGACTCTCCCCTATGATTAACATGCTTCAGGGATCATATCGTAATAAAGGTTTAGGAAACTGATCATCTAGAAATCATTATGATTCTTCCAACCATGCTGCTGATATCACCAAAATGAAATGATAACATTTAAATTGGGATCATACCTACTAAATTTCTTATATTTCATAAATCCTTATCGGGATTGATTCTAACATTGACTTGTTCCATGTGAGCTTCATGTTTCTAGTTATCTAAGAAGGGCACATATTTCATTTCTGATGATGTCAGTTTCCTTTTACTTGGATTAACGATATCTAATTTAGGTTCAATGCCAAGAGAAGCTGATTCTGCTGCCATCATTTTACTGCCCTGAAGTGCATCCCATACTAAATGTCAGGGGCTCTTGCGGCAGTTCTAGGAGGTGCTGCAGGAGCCGTGGCATTGCTGGGAATACTAATCGGTTTGATTCGCTACTTTATGTTGCGCAATAGGAGCATCGCAAGATCATCAGACACCAATTCATCTGAACTGTCAGTACAAGGTGAAATTTAGTGCTCCAAAGGCATTTAATTTTAAGCCACTGATGCTTTAGACTGATTAATTCTAGATTGTCTTCAACCTTTCAGAGGAACAAACCATCGAGTTGGCTTTTCAAGGAGCACGAGTTTTTACTCTCAAGGAGTTGGATGCGGCTACAAAAGATTTTAGCAATATCAATCTGATCGGTTATGGAATGTTTGGGGAAGTAAACAAGGGATTTCTTCAGGATGGAACAATAGTGGCTATCAAAAGAAGGGTTTCGGCTCCAAGTCAGGAATTTATCGAGGAGGTAGTTTATGCCCTCAGCTACAACTGTTCCTGATAGAAGTCCCAGTGCTTGCATTCACAAAGTTTCTGGATCACTTTATCGTCGAAGAAACATAATATAGTTGAATTTTACTACAAGTGATGTTGATATTTGCACAAGGACTTGGAACTTAACATGACAATGCTTTCTGTAGGTATGCTACTTATCTTCGATTCGCCATAGGAATCTTGTAAGACTTTTGGGTTACTGCCAGGAAAATGATCTGCAGATGCTTGTCTATGAGTATGTATCGAATGGCAGTGTTTCCACTCACTTATACGGTAGCCTTCTACTCTCTACTATTTCTCATAATTCCTTGCAATTATCATACCCTTTTCTTTTGACCAATGACTCCATGATTGCCTGAGTGAATTGGATGCATGGTATGATTTTTCTGTTGTCTTATGTAGGTGGTAATCAGGTTTTGAGCAGAAAGCTAGAATTCAAACACAGACTTTCCATAGCCCATGGCGCTGCGAAAGGTGTAAACCTGGTATTCCTTATTCCTAGTGAAAGAAAACATTTTGGGATCAAATCTATACTTTCTAGCTAATTATCTTGCCTCATACTAACCATATCTCATTTGTCTTTAGGTTGGTATTTTATGTCACATGAGCAACAAAAATCTGAATCAGAGTTGTCGAGAATTCTAACATTTTGTTTCTATCTGTTGATCAGGTATGGTTCACCTGCATTCTCTGAATCCTCCTTTGGTGCACATGAACTTCAAGACAACAAATGTCCTTGTAGATGAGGACTTCATACCGAAAGTTGCCGATGCTGGGCTACGTAGGTTGTTGAATCGGACAAATGGTGCTAGTCCATCTTCTAGAGTGACCACCGATGATCCTTTCCATGATCCGGAGTAAGAAAAAACCTCTCCATGAGTACTTACTACATCGAAGTAGAAGCTAATACTTCTCGTGTATCAGTGTATTAGATTGAGTTCTGCTTATGCATATGTTCTTTTTTGCTTGTGTAGAGTGAAGGAGTCTGGAGGATTCTCTTTGAAGAGTGATGTATATAGTTTTGGGGTATTTCTCATGGAGTTATTATGTGGGAGAGATGTCAGATCTGATCAAAGACTCATCGAATGGGTATTTATCACTTAATCGGAATTCTTTGCATGCAGACATTCATTGCTTCCTGTTTCAACTTATTATATCTTATTTCTCCCTGTTAATTTCAATATTCATATGATTTGTGTTGTTGCTTACAATGCAAAGCTTTAACAGTCGCCCAAATAAACTTATTTTTACAGTATAAAGCTTTTCTTGACATAAAATCTCTCGATGATTACATACTTGCATTACATCCTGTATGAGTGTTAAATTAATCTATCGGTATTATGCTGGCTGCCAATATCCATCGTTCCCTTTTATCATGTTTCTTCTACCTTTCATCTCTGTTTCTTCATTCATAACCTGCTAAGACAACTTGGATATTTTCTGTGAGATGGAGATGGAGATGGAGATCTCTGTTGATTTACCAGTATTGTTGTTCGTGTTTGATGCAAGCTGAAATCTGTGAGATGGAGATCATCCATGGATACTTTTTGACACTTACATCTATGGTAAAAGAAACATGCAATTTTTTTAAGATAATCTCATAAACCGAAAAAAGTTTTTCATCATTCTTTTTTGGATTCTTAGTTTTATGATAACAGCTTCTTGAAGGTTTTTAGTGCATGTATAATGTCCTAATGCCTTTCTGTATAGAATTTGTTTGGTTGTGGAATTTTATTTGAGTTTAGGTTACTATGAAATGATGGAAAGGCCTCTTCTTGAATGTGAACCGCCAATTGCTGTGCTGGTCGATTCAGTTCTTGTGCTCTTCATTCCAGCTAACAATCCACAAGTTTCTTTCTTCTAAGTAATGTTCTTTGGTGGCTGTTCATATGCAGGCACAGAACTATGAGGACTCTATCGATATATCGACAGTCATTGATCCGAGAATGGTCAGTAGTTTCACCTCAGAAGGCATGAAAGAGTTCTTGAGGCTGATAACATGGTGCCTGAATCCGTCAAGCGAGAGGAGACCTTCCATGGATTATGTGGAGATAGAACTTCAACGGATACGCGAAAAGGAGTTACAGTTGACGACTGTCATGGGCGAAGGGACGACGACCGTAACTCTTGGAAGTCAGCTGTTTAGGGCATGAATAATAGTCGATGTATCAACCATGTTTTCATGATTGTATATTAACTCTTTCACCTTTGTTTTGGGAACCATCAGCTGCAAGTTAAGTGTATAAATGGAACAGCTGTGTCATTCTTTCGATTTTTTTTCTCCTCCTTCCCAAAATGTTTGTAGAGTCATGTCTCTTTGTTTTTATCTTAGATCTCATTTATATGATTGGGTTTGGTGTGGGCTTATCGGCAGTACATATGGATTCATATAAATTTGTGCCCTTGAAGGCAGCAATTGCTTCTTCTGCTCTATTTGGACAGAAGGATTGTAATAGTTTGTTTCTACAATATAAAAGGGCATTTGTTGTCCTCCATATATACAGTTATTGTCTGCACATATTATATCCCTTGAAACTTTGGCTTTTTGTTCATCCATTATAAGTACTAGTTTTTGCCGATGAAAATGAAATGTATTCACGCAATGCTTAGAAGATGTGATATAATAAATGAAGACCTAAAAAAGAATTTTTAAGAAACTATGCAGATCTCAAAAGATCCATGTAACCGAAGTGAAATATTTGAAACATTATAACTTATTGTCATTGTAGTTGCGATGTTCACTCATTCCAACTATTGAATCTGATGGAAGTTAGAGGGGTCTCACTAAGAAATTATTGAAATACTTTGATGTTATGCACCCCTCTTTTCATCTTTGCTTAATTAAAATTGAATGTTTCAAGCAACTGTCATATGCTTCCAAGAATACTATGCTTGATCAAATTGGTTTCTCAAAGGAGACCAGACAACAAGATGAGAGATCACTAATAAAGCATTCTTTGAAATGCGTGTCAGAATTACAGCATCAAGCTTCTTTTAACATGAAATCCTTATCTATTAAAACTCAGGTTATAAATTATTGACACAAAATATATTAAATAAAGAGCTTGTGTGGGTCTGAGTGAGAGGAAAGCATTAACATTGCTCTTCTCAATAAGAAATTGACAAGATGTAGAACCTCATGAACTCAATGTTTGAACCACTGCAGCCTAATAAGCCATGAATTAAAGAGTTGCAAGATATACAACACAACCTACACACAGCCCTACAACTATGCAAGATCCATAATTTAACAGAAGTATAGTAATTTCCTTTTAGAAAAATGTGCAGTATATCATCACACTCCTAGATTCTTTGGTTCTGAAGGATTGGGATGTTCTAGGTAAAGTTGTACCTTCAAAGGCTCGCTGCTCATTGATTTTATCGGTGTTATGTCTGGGGGCTGCAGCCACTGCTTTGTGTCCGTTGGAACCCACATCCGAGCCTCCTTGTTGCTGCTGTCCTGAGGAAGGGCTCGAAAGTAGGCAGTGACCTCCCAACTGCTACCTGCACCGCAAAATACAACCTCAGTTCAGGGCCAATAACATGAAACAAATATGTCTAGGCCGAGTTGAGTACCAGATGGAAGAGGTTTGGTAAGGGGCTCGGCGACTGTCAGCTTGATGAGGAATGCTCTGAGAGCAAACTCAAGATCATTCTCTTCCACCTTGGAGTTGTAAGACTGGTTGACAATAATCTTGAAAATGAATTTTTCGATCGGGACATGTTCATTGTCGTAGAAGATCACATTCACCCTCTCCACCAACCCCTGCAAGAATTGTGAAGGTTTTCAGCATCCAGCTTTGCAAGAATGTTTAACTGCATTCAATGAAATCAAACAGTGTCTAGGAAAAAATAAAGAACCACATGTGAGGCTTCCTTCACAAGCAGTGCAAGCCAGTGTTTGTTTGGTAATCTTCACTCTTCTAACCTTTCTGCTACACAGTTTGGATTTCACACACATGTGATTAGCAAAGGCTCAATTTTTCCTACTCCTGTTGCTTATAAATAGCTTGTGGTCATTAGTAGTTTTCCTGTTATGAATAAAACACCACCTGCAAAATTAACCTAGTCTCACGATAGATAATTGCAAGCTTGCACTTGAGCATAGTTCACGAGGGAGGGAAAAAGCAGAAGGTAACGTAACCAAATGCAAATTAATTAACCATTAGAACTCATGATATAAGGTGGGACAAATGCCCTGGTAGAATTACAAGCACTTAAGCTCTAATGTCCGCAACTTGGAAGTGGAATTTGGAGAGGTTTTAAATTTCAAGAAAGCAGAGTTAGGTGATGAGTGTTCTGAAGTCATATATGAGAGAAGTGGGAAGGAAATATTGGTTATTTGACCAAAGAATTAAGACCTATTCACCAATTAATAACTTTCCATAGAAAATAATGTTCATGGTTCTTGTTTCATCAAGGTATCTAATTGTCTATGGCTCCACGATCACCGTTTTGTCCTCCATAACCATCCAATTTCTTTTCAATGATCAGAAATTAGGGGGACCAACTAAAGTTCCTGTTTTTTTTGTATTTCTTCTCTTTGATCTCTTTGACGAATCCTATACCTCAATCCAGGGGTAAAGTTGGCTGCATCACTAATGCACAGTGAAGCAATAGAAACCAAGTCTGGCAAAATCACAAACATATACCGAGCAGTCCACAATAGCCAGAGACCGGCAAACAAGTGACTAAGGAAGAAAAGAAAGAACCTTTTGGACGAAGGGGAGAAGACCGGCAGTCACGGAGTGGATGTAGCCGGAGAGCTGCGGGTGCCGCGCCCTGTGCACCACCACGTTCATGTACCTCCTCCTCTCAAAGGCCTCTTTTTGCGCGTGCACCAATAGAACAGTCAGACAGAGGAAACGAAGCGAGACAAAGAGAGAAGGGAGGTAGATGGAGCACCAGAAGGATAGAAGCCCTTGAGGAAGACGATGGAGGTGATGGCGACCTCCAAGAACTCAACTAAGACACGAGCCGTTTCGCCTTCACAGAGATCGAAGGGAGAAGCGGAAGTCAGTAGCATACGGAGGAAGGAACGGTAACTGATGGATTCATGGGTTACGTACCTTGAGGAGAGGTGTTCTTCCGATCCATGGCGTCACGGGGAAGGCAAACGACGCGAAGCGGCAACCGAACTCGGCCGAAGCATACAGCGACTCGGTTATATGACTCGGTGGAGAGTCCACGTGGCTTTCAGAAATCCCTTCATGTTTTTTTTGCATTAAAACCCTTATAATTTTTTAAATTTCATATCTGTTCTTATTTTCAATAAATTTGGAAATATAAGGGTTTTTTTGATAAATTATCAAAAGAGAGATGAAAGAAATTAGCCTGATAATGATATATTTGATTCACTTACCCTTCAATAAGATCTCAATTAATAGAAATTTTGATCTTCATTATTTACCCTTTGTAGTAAGAAATAAAAATAATATTGACTGTTTCAACAACAAGAAGTTTAGACAGAGTATTGTGGTCAAGATTAAAGGAGAGTCATTTGAACTGCATATAGCTGCAGTGTAATTGAAGTTTATTGTTTTTGCAATCATATTTAGCAGGCAAGAGAACAAAAAAAAAAAATCAGAAAATAAAACTGAAAACAGAAGCATTGGCATGTTTTTCTATCCAAAAAATATTTAGCTAGTCAACCACATTAGCTAATGTTGAGAACCTTTTTCTTTGCTGCTCATGAGAGTCTCATAATTGCCAAGACACCTTTGTGCTAGTCATCCATAAATCATGAAATGGTTGTGACTCCATGAGAAGAATTAAGGCATGTATCATTGTCAATAGCACATCCAGATATGAGAAAAGAATGTTCTGCATGCTGAAACCTGCCCTCCAAAAATAAGTTTCTAAAATACTTTGACTTAGTGATTGCAAACCTTTAACAACCTAAATCTCTGTTCATTATGAAGTCATATACAATCACTCAGTGGGATAACTCACTGTCAATTGAATCTCATGAGAGTTATGACCATTTGGCAAAATGATACAGCAACATCTATCTGATTTAGACATTTGTTGTTACTCCTGATGATCCATGAATGGCTGTAACCATCACTCCATATATTTCCCATAGTAAGCTTCTGAAGGAAAGATGAGAAGACAGCATCTCCAGCAGTGACTGAAACATCTGATGCTCAAACCTAACATAATCAGGCATGGAAATGCCTTATCTTAATCTTTATCTACCTCTACATAAAACAATTATGCTTGCATTCCATCTGCTAACCACATGCTTTCCATAACTCAAATACAACTGGATGAATAGTGCAGGGAGACCATCTAAATCCCTGTTGTCCTTGTATATGGTCCTGGCCATTGTGTTCTTGTGCCAAATATAGCTGGAAATAAACTACTTCAGCAATAATCTCCATATCTTTTTCATGTACACAACTAGTGACCATACAGCAAGCCCAGCTGAAATGTAAAGCAGGACAACACCGGCAGCAACCAAACCAGTCATCGCTGCAAGTCTGCAAAACAGAAAAAAGAGAGAAAAACTCAACCATATTAAATATGCAGAAAATAATATCATAAGCAAATGAATGTCACATGATTAAGACCATAACCTGGGATCTCTACTAGCAAGAAGAACAGTCAGTGCAATCATTTGTGTTGCTGTTTTCCATTTCCCAAAACTATTTACTGCTACTGCCTGCTTTTTGGTATCATTTGGTTATATTATAGATTTTTTATAGATGGTATATAAAATATATCCTTTGCTAAAGAAGCACATTACCAATGGAAACAAAAAGAAAAAGGTACCTCAAGAGCTCTGCCATTCTGGGATGCAGCCCACTCTCTAACTGATGACATAGTTATCTGCAAGAAGGATACAGAATACTAAAACCAGCCTACGACCATTAAAAAGGAAAATAGTAAACTCAGTTTGGAACCGAAATCCACTGGAGAAGAAGAAAATAACAAATTGAAAATTTTCGTGACCTCATTGTGTGTATTTGCCATATGCATTTCTTTTTAACTTGGTCTGATAACCACAAAGCAACACAAATGTAATGGTTAGCAAAGCAAATAAACTTGGGGATAAGTAATATACAAAGGAGTGTGATTTCTGAAAGTAACAAACAAGCTTATGAAGGTCAAAATTCTTGATTTCGGGATGCAGATTAAGACACTAAATTAATTTATTATTGAATATTTCAGATTCACATAGAATAGATTGATTTTGATTAAGACCTGACGTTTGCAAGTCAAGCAACCGGATTCAGATTAATATTGGCAATAGAGTCTGGTTAAGCAGATCCGGAAAGAGCACAAACACATAATACACAACAAATACAAATGAACATATAAACTTGATGCACACTCAGAAAGGAAACAAGACTTGGTTACAAATTGGTGATTACCTCTCTACCAATAATGGTGATTGAAGGTGCTGCCAGAAGCCATGGAACATCCCAAAATACAGCACATTTCAAAGGTTTGGTGCACAACAAAACCAACGTGGCAGAAACCATAAGCTGCAAGCAAGCAAAAGAATCAGATAATTAAACTAATACAAGGATGTTTTTGGACTTTGCAAAGCCACAGCTATGTGTGTAGGATAAAGAAGGATACCTTGTCAGCTACAGGATCCAAAAATGCACCAAATGCAGTTCCCAGTCTCATCTAAAGAACACAACAAATTAATGTCAGTTGCAAGTAGTGTACTGGTTTGTCATGCATAGGAGCATAAGTGCATAACTAGTGGATGTATTGAAAATGAATCAACACCTTAAATGATAAGATCGAACTAGGTCATATTTTGGAATGAAATTACATCAAGAGTAAGAATAGTATCACTGAATACAAATATTTTACATTGGTGAACATTTTTCAAAATTTTGGTGATGTAGGATATCTAATTGTCTTATTTAATAAGAAAAAATGGTAAAAAAAAAAGTGATATTAGTTTCCTTAACATGTTGGAGTGCGCTAGGGGGCATCAAATAGATTAGTATCATATGATAAGAACTTGTTTATATCTGATAAACATGATGACTTTCTTATTCTCCAATCATCTGATTTTCGATTGAACTCATTTCCCACTGCTTTCAAAATCATAGAAATGTTTAAGCTTTCAAAAGACATTGGACATAATTTTACAAACAGAAGTGTGATTTGACCACATGTAAAATAGCATTTTGTATGATTCTGATCCAGAATTGCTTGTATATGCTTGCAGCCAAAAAGTATAAAAACTCACATACCTTTCGTGCAATATAGCCATCTAGCCAATCTGTAAGTGCTGCGAGAAGAAAGATGCCTGTTGTAGCAGTTGTTGCCCACCAACCATCCACGTAGAAAGCTAGTGAAAGCAGTAAATATGTTAGCCTATGCACATAGACAAACTCAAAGATGTGATTTATCAATAGATGAATACAAGCACCTGAAAGATGGTGAACACAACCATCAGTGAATATTTACAAAAAAGATAAAAAAGGAAACATAAGATGACCTCTCACTTTACTTAAAGAAAAAAAATTGAAGAAAGTGTTGGCATCCATAACTAATAAATTAAACGCAATACACATGTTTTCGAAGTCATGGATGCCTGCAGAAAGACGATACAATCGTTTAACCTTTTTTGATATGAGTGTCAAAGCATCAACAACTCTTTACTTGTTATGCCAAAACTATTTAGAATGTGATATCTCATGGCTTGTTTCTTCCATTATTGCCATGACCAGCATCACCACCACAAACACAACCAAAGCATTTCTACAATGCAAAGTGGTGTTGAACCTTGAAGAGGAAAAACAAGAAAGATTTGCTTGCGATCTTGGTATGCTTATTCGACATTGATGTTCGAGGACAAAGAAGGGTTTCATGTTTCTCTCTTTGTAAGATCCTCTCTCCCTTTCTACATAAACGTATGAGCTTCCTAGATAAACAATTACCTACAGCTAAAAGCAATCTTGATCACAACAAGTCATTGAACTCTTGAAGAGATAAAGACATGAGAACCTCTTAATTATAAGTTTTATCACAAAAAAAAAGAGAAAATTGCAATTAGATCACCAAAAAAACAATTATATCTCCGAGATTAAAAAATCTCAAACTATATAGAAATCATGGTAATCATTTTCCAAAGAGTTATGTCAAGATTCCATCTTTGCATCACCGACGCAGACGATCCAAGGAACAGAATCCGACACTCCAATCCAACCTCTATAGATCGTATAAACCACACGAAAAGAAAGAGGGATATGCCATTTAGACCACCTACTGCTCACGAGAAGGGGGACGGCAGCAACCCGGCCGATCGTGAGAACCGTCGGCAGCGTGAGCAGCTTCGGCGTGCCGCTCTGCTGCAGCAGCGGCGGCGGAGATTGCTTGACGCTGCCGCTCCCATTCATCTCGATCTCCCCTCTCCCGTTCCGGAACTCGTAAAGGGAACCCATGGAGCTCGCGGCGTCCCCGTTGGCGCTGCTCCTCCCTCTTACGGCATCACCCGCCCGTCTTCTCACGCTCTCGCCCGACGTGGCGGCCACGGCCGCGAGAGGCGCCTGCGCGGATCCAAGAGCCATTCACGTTCGCCACCGCCGGTCCTCGCGCCGTGGATCGCGCCGCGCCCCTGTGCTGCGGTTGCAAAAGCGGCCTTCGTTTGGCGACTGTCGCTGTCTTTGTCGTAGTCTGTCTGGTGAGTTACGAGTGGGTGTCTCAATTTTCTATTCAGAAACGATCGGGAATGCGGATCCAACAATAAGCATATCGAATCACTTAAGGATCCGACACTTCGACCGGATCCAAAAGTTTATCCTGTACGGATTCGGATCCGTTTGATTTTGAATCTGGATCCATATTAACTTTTTTTCAAACAACATCTCTAATTTAAAAAATACCCAAAATATTCTTTAAAATTTTTTCATCTATTTTTTAACATGTTTTCAACTATTATAATGTTTTCATTTAGCTCATTTATAATTATTTTTTAATCATATTTATAATATTAGATATACTAAAAATAATATAGATATTATTAAAAATATAGTGCTCGAGTCTCACATATATTGAATTATAATTAATATTGTTGAATCGATGATGAAACCAATTGATAATTGTTAATGATTTGATCTGCATTTTGAGTGACATAGGATGCTTTGATCAGGGAGAGACAATTAAAGCAGGAAGAATAATGTTGGGCCGGAGGAAAACATGTCATAAGATTGGACGTCGAGCCGGAGGATCGGTCGACGTATCGACAGAAGGCTTCGGGCTATGGATTCGGGCATCGGGCCAATAAGAGCATATATTGCGCCAAGGATATCGAAGTTGCAGAGTCAATTGACTGATTGGGCAATACGCCACAAGAGAGGACGATGTGCTGAAAAATTGGACAAAGCGTCGAGGGACCAATGACATGTCGGACAATATGATTCATGCTTAGTATTAATTGTCTAGATCGAAGTGTGTTTTTACATGTGCAGGATTAACTATGATAGCAAGGTATAAAGCAAAATGAAGTTCCGGAGTTAAGGACGCGATTTCATTGGGAGTTCGAGAGCTCATCGGAAGTCCAGACGTTCGTCGAAAGTTCTGTCGGAACCAGCCGAGAAGTCTCGGAGCTTGCCAGAGAAGCTCGTCGGAACTCGTCAAGAAGATCATCGTGAAGTCAAGGAGCTTGCCGGGACTCTGTTGGAACATTATCGAGAGATCGCCGGAAGAAACCAAGACTTACAGACTTGTTTAGCTTAAGTATGTCTTAGATTTTATAGTTAACATATAATTGGGTTTGGAATTGGGCCAACCCAATTATGAGCTAGTTGGGCCCATGTAAGGACTGTGTTGGGCCCAATAAAAGGTCCAAACAGTGACTCAAGAGATGACACCGTCGTGGCACAGTCTTCGAGATTGTGTCAGGTGGTGGTATCGCCCCTGGCAGGGTACCAAGCGGTGGTACCGCCCAGTGCAGTGTCAATGTTAGACCGACACTCGTAATGGTACCGCCCAGCACAGGCGGTGGTATCGCCCGGACTCAGGAAACCCGGGATGAGATGTTTTTAGGCTCCAAGTTTGAATCAACTTGAAGCTTATAAATACCCCTCTCATCCCTGGTTAACGTACACAAGCACAGAGCATTTAAAAGTGAGAAAACGCTATTGCAATCACTAGAGAAATCCCCTCCTATAGTTTAAGTTTCGAATTCTATTTAGGAGGAGTGTGTGCTTGTAAAGGTTGACTCCTAAACTTGTGAAAAGAAGAAGAGGGGTGTAAGAAGGAGGTTGATCTTCGCCTATTAAAGGAAGATCGATAGTAGATGCCGGTGGCCTCGATGGAAGAGGAATCGACGAAGTGGATGTAGGTCACGACGACCGAACCACTCTAAAATCAGATTTGCATTTTACTTTGAGCAATTTATCTTTACTGCAAACCTCTTTAATAGCTTACTGCTTTTAATATATTTACGAATGTGTTTCAAGTTGAGAAATTTACGAAATGGTTTCGTCGGAAATAGATTTTATCGCAAATAAGTTTTGAACCGACATAATTTTTACCGCTGCACTAATTCACCCCCCCTCTTAGTGCCAACTCTGTTTCTAACAGTTGGTATCAGAGCCTCGTTTTCTCATTTGGTTTAACACCTAAAGAGAAATGACTCTTTTTGGCCTTCAAGAGGGTCACTCTTTCATTCGTCTTCTCTTTTTCAATGGGACGGACTACACTTATTAGAAAACTCGAATGAGAGTTTTCTTACTTTCATTGAATCTCGATTTATGACACATAGTCGAATTTGGTTTTCAAAGTTCTTCTCCTCCAACGAACCATTGGAATGATTTGGAGAAGAAGATTTTTTTTCTAAATGCAAAGGCTATGAATGCCTTGTTTTGTGCCTTAGATAAAACTGAGTTTAATCGGGTTTCTATATACGAAACGACTTTTGACATATGACGCACTCTCAAAATCACATATGAAGGCACTAGCAAAGTTAAAGATTCGAAAATCAACTTTTTAATGCATGATTTTAAACTTTTTCGAATGAAGCTGATCGAAACCATTATTGATATGTACACCTGTTTTATGGATGTCGTCAATGGTTTAAAAGCTCTTGGTAAAAGCTTTTCGAATTTTGAACTCATTAACAAGATTTTAAGATCTCTTTCTAAAAATTAGAATTTGAAAGTAACGACTATTCAAGAATAAAAAAACTTGAATACTTTTTTGATCGAAGAACTTATCGGGTCTTTAATGACCTATGAAATGACTAATGTGGCACTTGACGAACATGAGAACCACCTTCCAAAGAACAGGAAGGATTTTGAACTTAGAACAATTGAAGACCACTCGAGCATAAGCTCAAGTGATGGTGAACATGAACTCCTCACTATGAAATTGAAAAGGTTCATGAAACAAGAGTTAAAGAACAAAAATAAAAAGAACGCAACTACTTGCTATGAATGCAAAAAGAAGGAAGCTCTTTGGGACAAATCAAGCTCAGCCGAAGACGAGGAACAAACCGATGAAGACGAAATGACAAACCTTACTTTGGTGACTCTCGTCGACGAGGTAAACAACTCAAACAAAACTCCTTTAGTTTACTTTGAAATTATTTGATATTTTTCATGAGTTATTTTTAATCTAGTTTAAAAAATTGTATAATTTTTTTTGGATTGCATGTTTAATAATGTAATGAAAATATAAAAATTGTGATCATGCTAGTAATTTTGAAAACGATAATAAAAAATATATATTTTATGTTAAAGGAATAAAATGTTATCTTTAAATCTAATGATAATCCTATGTATGTTTTTGAAGTAAGAATGCGTATTTTGATGATTTCCATATAGCTTTTCGATTTTGATTGAAAATGTCTTATGAAACCTTGATATTTTAATAAAAAGGCTAAAGGGTTTAATATCATGCTTAATGAGTTTATATTTAGAAATGATGCATGATGATCTTTGCGATTTATAGATTATCGATTTTTACCGTAATGAAAGTTGCTTTTTCGGTTTTAAAAATAATGCATGGCTTTTGTATGAAAACTAAGCATGAAAAGTTAGATTCATCTAAAAAGAAAAATACATGACTACAACAAACAAAATGAACTTGATTGAAAATGCTTTATATTTGATGAAATCATTTTTGATGATGCATAATGATGAAATTATGTAATAAAAATATTAAAACTTTTGGTACTGGTGATTTTATACTATGCATGAGATTTAAAAATGATGCATGATGATTTTTTTGATTTATATCTTATTGATCTTTGACGTAATAAATCTTATATTTTCGATTTTAAATATTATTGCATTTATTTATTTGGTATAAATGAAATAAATCACATGAATTGAAATAACTAAAAAGAGGAAAGGTTTCTCCTTGAAAAATTTATTTTTCCCTACTTTATCTATTTTTCTAAAAATGAGATTAATGAATCTATTTATATCACTTTTATGAATCTCTTGAAAATGATTTTGATGATTTTGATGATTTGAATTTAAATGAGTTTTATCAAAATCATGATCTTGATTTTTTTGGAATTACATGAGATTTTTTTTAATCAAGATCTCTTCTTTGTACTCCTACAATTTTTTTTGATATTTTAATTAGGAGGAGATTTAATATATGAATCATATTTTTTGGTATTTATATGATCTTATCTCTTATGACTTGATTTATTTTTGTATAACCCCTTGTATTCATCACCCAATAATTCTTCTTGATGAGATGAAATGAATGTGATGAAATGAAATTATGCATGAAATACTCATGATATTGTTTTGATGCTCTAAAATGATATAAAATTTGCTAGCTTATGAGTATCATGTATGATATGATCATAATGATGATTGATTTTTTTTTTTTGATATCATGCATGAAAATAAAATGCAAGGTTTTGAAATTGTGCATGTTTTAATTTGAAACTATTATGATACACAAACATATTGAAAAAAAGATTGATACTTCAACTTTGTCATGATTTGAAAATTGATGTAAAGGGAAAAGAATTACAACATTGTATTCTTCCCTTCTTTTTGACAAAGACAAAGGGGGAGAAATACTACTAGCTCAAACATTACAAAGGAAGCAAATATTTGCTAGCTTACATATTGCAAGGAGAAGAACTTGATATCTTGAACATTACAAAAAATTTGCTACCTTGCATGATATAAAATTTACTAGAATTGCTAGCTTGTGATCTAAAGAGAAACAAAGAGTTGCTATCTCAAAAGAAGCAAAAGTGCTATCTTGCCTATCTCAAGAAGCAAAACATGTTAACTTATACATCTAGCAAAATTTACTAACTTGTATATTTCAAGAAGCAAGAGTTGCTTTCTTGAACATCTCAAAATTGCTAGCTTGTATGTTTTAAAATGTTATAAAATTTTTGCTAGCTTGCATGATGATAAAACTTGATGTTTATTATGCAACGATTTGAACTTGTATGTTTAAACACTTGATAGTGGTACTTCTCCTTATTGTTGATGAC